ACAACTCCACTCACGTTCTAGGTGATTTTGTGCAAGCAGGTGGCAGGCAACTCGAGGCACTAGGATAGACTAGGATAGACTCTTCTTTGCAGGAGTGACATTGGTCACCAAAATTACAAAACCCAAAAAACGAACAAAGTACAGCGACGAAGCAAATAGAAATCAGAGCAAAAGCAACCGTGTCATATGGTACGTACGCACGCGTGCGTGTTACGGCACGTGCCCCAACAGCCTGTGTAGGCTACACGGTGGATCTGTGTTTGTGCTCAGGCCCGCTGGATCACAGCCAGGCCGTACACACACGTATCCTGCAGACCGTCTACCGCCAGCTCACGGGATCCCGCCTCGACTGCCCACGCTTCGGCCCCCACTGGGAGGAGATCGGCTTCCAGGGTACATCACCATGATCGCCATCATCACCACGGCAACAATTGCCATCACCACCAGCACCATCGTCATCATCACAAGGCGCTTGCTAACAGTACTTAACACCTAAGAGTCTTTGTTGTGTGTGTACATGTACGTGTGTGCATGTGTGTGCGTACGTGTGTGTACGTGTGTGCTTGTGTGTACATGTGCGTGCGTGTACGTGTGTGTACGTGTGCGTGTACGTGTGTGTACGTGCATGTACGTGTGCATGCGTGTGCGTACGTGCGTGTACGTGTGTGTGTACGTGTGCGCGTGTACGTGCGTGTGCGTGCGTGTACGTGTGTGTGCGTGCGTGTGCGTGCGTGTACGTGCGTGCGTGCGCATGCGTGTGCGTGCGTGTACGTGCGTCTATGTGCGTCTACGTGCGTCTACGTGCGCGTACGTGTGTGTACGTGCGCGTACGTGTGTGTACGTGCGCGTGCTTGTGTGTACGTGTGTGCGTGTGTGTACGTGCGTGTGTGCGTGCGTGCGTGTGCATGCGTGCGTGTACGTGCGTCTATGTGCGTCTACGTGCGTCTACGTGTGCGTACGTGTGTGTACGTGCGCGTGCGTGTGTGTGCGTGCGTGTGTGTACGTGCGTGTGTGCGTGCGTGTGTGTGCGTGCGTGTGCGTGCGTGTGCGTGCGTGCGCGCACTGTGTAGGCAGTGACCCGGGCACCGACCTGCGTGGAGCGGGCCTGCTGGGTCTGATGCAGCTGCTGTGTGCGCTCACGGAGCCTCACAGCCTGCCTCTCACACGCGAGCTCTACCGCCTCTCCCAGCACCACACACAGGCACAGCACCCGCCACATACGCTCACCACACTACACGTACAAATGCATACATACACACAGGACAAAGATCTCCGTATAGCCTTTACAGACTATTGGGGCGAGTGCTGTTAGAGAGCACCTATAAAGGCCGGCACGGTACACGAGGGGGTGGGTGGCCAGCACCATGCACGACCGCCTTTGTCTCCCTAGTGGCGATGTTTTTACACACCGCACCTGGTACTCATTTGAGGCTGAGTCGACCTAGGGCAGGCCCAGGACCTGTTCAGATAATCGTCACCGGTGTTGGCCGTAAGCGGGAATTAAACTCGGCTCACCGGGTTCGTAGCGCAGGGCGCTGACTACTACACTACCGCTCCCCACACACAGGAACACACATGCACGCACGCGTTCACATCACAAACACGCGCACGTACGTGTGTACACACTCGTTCACTGCACACACTCACCACACTCTTTATCTCCTACAGAACTTCCCATTCTGCATCATGTCCATCAACCTGAGCCGCATTTGCCTGCAGGCTCTACGCGAGGAGTGCCTCACCAGGTGAGTATCGTACTCGCCAGGCGGACCACACTCACCGCACGCAGGCACCACCCATTAAGCAGTGATTGATTTCACTTGCCCACTCACCAGTGAATTCACCTGCACACACACACACTCATCCACTCGCTCACTATCGCCCTGACCCCTGTGTGCCGCGAGCAGGGAGTGTAACCGCCGGCTGCAGGTGGTGCCGGTGCTGAGCGACCTCTTTGCTGCGCTGCTGCTGCAGCTGCACCGCACGTGGAGGGAGCGCCACTGCACCATCGCTGACTCCGGCGCCGTGCTGCAAGGTGCGGACCCTCCGCTCGCTCGCTCGCTCACCCACATGCTCGCCTGCACAGCGACTCACCCACTTGCTCGAAAAGATCCCTGTTTAGCCTTAACCGACTGTTGGGGCAGTTGCCGTTCGTGAGTAGCAACAGCGATGAAGGCCGACACAGCACACGAAGAGTTGGGTGGTCAGCACCACTCCCGGTCGCCTTTGTCTCCCAAGTGGCGACCTAGCGGAGGCCCAGGACCGTGAACGGGAATTGAACTCCGGTCGCTGGATTCGTAGCGCGGTGCACCAACTGCTACACTGCTGATATCCGCAGCACCCTCTCGTGAGCCGTGATAGGTGCTCTCTAACAGTACTTGACCCAACCGTCTACCCGGGGGGTCTTTGTCTCTGTTCTAGAAGTGGAGGTGGCCGCCAAGCGGTCCCCGAGGCAGCTGCTCCGCCAGCTGGAGCTCCACTTGAGCGGTGGCGCCCCCGGCCCCACCGCTCCCACCGGCCCCACCGCAGCCCAGACCCTCGGCTTCTCCTCCGTCTCCGACATGGACGGCAGCCCCCCCGGACGCGCGGACAGAAGCAAGGGGGGGCACGGGGGAGGCAGGGGGCAGCAATACATCGTGGACGACCGCACGGCGCCCTAAGGGAGGAGTGCAGGGCGGGGAGGGGGTCACGTGGTGGAGGGCGGAGGTCGCGGGCTGCTCTCGTTGGGCGTGTCGGGCGGCACCGTGGGGTCGCCCGGCTCCATCCGGGTGGAGCGACCTCCACTCGAGCACGGGGTGTCGCGGTGCTGCTCAGATGATGAGCTACGCTCAAGAGAAAGGTAATGACAGGTGGCGGTGGTTGCGGTCGCTGGTGACAGTGGTGGTAATGGTTGTAAGGGGTGATGGCGATCGTAGTGGCAGTGCTGCTAGTCATGGCGGTGGTGGTGGCTGTGGTGATAGTGGGAGCGGTGGTAGTGGTAGGGGTTCAAGTTCATTGTGTGTAGCCAAGATGAGAACGATAGAGACCAGGGTAGGAGTCTCCCACTTACAAGAGTGACCCTGGTCACCAAAGTGACAAAAACAAATATAGTACAGCAATGAAGCAAATATTAATCGGGGTTAGTGGTGGTAGTTGATAGTTGTGGCGGTAGTGATGGCGATAGTGGGGGACGGTGGTAGTCATTGCGCGTAGGGCGTTTGCCGGTTCGCTAAACACACGCGTGACGGTTACCAACGCGCACCGGTGTGAGATGAATTGGAGATCCGGCCGCTCTTGACGTTTGTGTCGCCAAAGTCCGACATGGCGGGGGAGGAGGTGCCGCTAATTCCGACGCCTGCTGTAGTTAGCGGCGCGCAGAGACGAACATCACCGACTAGGAGACTGGGAAGCGCTTCGGGAATAATGATCAAAATCAGATGTCTAACAGCTCGCCCACCGGCGATTCCATGAATTGCCGTCATTAGGGTTAGAGGGTAGAATGTATGATTATTTTGTCTCGTTTGTATTGTTAGTAAAAAAAGGTTTTTGTGTTAGATCGCGTAAGTATAAATGTGTTGTAACCCTCCACCATCTGGCAGCCAATTAGTAAGGGATTTGTCACGTTAACAAAACTCCAATTAGTTACTACTTCAGCCCATCGGTGTGTTGGAGAGTAAATCCACAACATTTACAATTCGAGTACCGTGATTTGTCAAATCACGATCTAACCCAAAAACCTTTATTATTATTATTAATATTGGTGGCGAAAGCCGAATACGTGTTCATCTCGTTTGTGTTGATCGTCTTGTGCATTGTCTTGTCCGTTAGCCTCAATCCGCATTCGTGTTTTATTTCCGTGAACCTCGAAACGTTCGATCCGCAGGCGACTCGCGATGCGACGTGCGTGCGTCTCGCGGAGCTTACGAGGAAGCGATCCGCATAGATCCGCCGATCGTCATTTCACGCGCAGTCGGCACGTGCGAGCGCCTTGGGTGAAGCCCTCTGAGTGGTCCATGGCGCTGATGTGGGGATGGCCAATCGGTAGCTTCTGATTGGCCGACGTGAGGAGGGGGCGGGGCTGGTGAGGTGAGGGCATCGCACTGTGGGGGTGAAGGGGGTTAGGGGGAAGGGGGGTGGAGGTGAAGGGGAGTGGGGGTGAAGGGGGGGTGGCGGTGAAGGGGGGGTGAAGTGGGGGGTGGGGGTGAAGCGGGGGGTGGATGTAACTCGGCAGTGGCGCTAGACGCGAGGGTTGTGCTCCGAGCCAACGCCGGGCACGGTAGGTGCGTGGCGCTGCTGGTGACTCGGTGCGGTGACTCCCCCCCGTGTGTGTGCGTGACACAAACGCGTGGTTCAGCAGCCGTTTGTCACTCCACTGCTGGTTGAAGGCCTCTCCCCCACACCGTGTCGGTCACAGCAGTTGCGTTTTTACCGTTTGCTGTTTTCACCAGAAGATGAGACGATAAATGTTGGCTCAACTTTCCGAAAACGACACAGGTTAGCGTGTCAGTATTCTGGGTTTTTATTCAATTTATGCTACTTTATGGACAAATGCATTCAGAAAGCGCAAACAAAACTGTAAATACAATCGTGTAGTTTTCCATCCACGTTTATTGACCTGAGAGAGTTGACCTCGCGAACTCTCCAACACAAACACGAAGTTACTTTCCCCGAAAATACTGGGGCAACGCGATGCCTGGTTTGCAGCTTTACCCACTCACCTTACCCACTGCCCTGCCATCTCACCATGCCGCTCACCTTGTCCTCTCACCTGCCGCCTCACTCGTCCACTCATCTTCAATCTCACCTGTTGGCTCGTGGACCCATTCACCTACACTCTTCACCTGTACGACTTACCGTACCAATCCGCTCACCTACCCAGCAATCACCTACCCGCTAAGCTGCCCTCACCCCTGAGGGGAGACGTGGCCCAGGAGGGGTCACTGCGTGAGATACCTCAACTCAGGGGTCTCTTCCACCCGTGATCCTCTCCCATGACCACCTCCCCACATTCTCAGCTCTACCATTACCATCTGCCTCATCCTCAACTCCAATCCTTTGTGACCCCCGAATCTGTTAGACTGCATGGGTGACCCCGAGCCTCAAACAGCCCCCTAGCTTTAGGGGGCTTGGTACATTGTTTAACACGAGTGGTGGGTTTCCCTCACCACATAGTCAAAAGGCAGATCGAGACACTTCCCAAGGGGCGGGTTCGGGGGGGGCGACGCTCCTGAAATCTCTAAATATGGCCCCCTATATTAATACAACGTTAAATGTAATTTCCTCTGGCAAATATCAATAAAATAGCAATTTGCGTGTGTCTCCAGAGGGTCTTGCTGCCCCCATTAGTTTCCGTGACGCTCCACCCTTGAAACGGCTCCAGGTGCCCCCCAGACCGAGCCCAGGTCCAGGCGGCCCCCCAGGCCCTCAGAGGGCCAGGCTGGCCGTGCTGCTCTGCGCCTTGGCCTTGGCCGCGCCGCGGCGGCAGCAGCAGAAGAGGCGGCGCAGCTCGGCGCGGAAGGCGCCGTGCAGCCACGCGTAGATGAGCGGGTTGGCGCAGGCCGAGCTCATGGCCACCCAGTGGCACGCGAGCTGCACGGCGCCGAAGTAGCGCGGCGCCACCAGCGACAGGTCGACGTCGCGCGCCAGGTTGAAGGCGTGCAGCGGCAGCCAGCAGAGCGCGAAGGCCGCCACGACGGCCACCAGCAGGCCCTGCGTCTTGCGCCGGCGCCGGCGGTCGCGCTCGGCCTGGGCGCGCGTCACGCTGCCCGGCACGACGCGGGCGCGCAGCTTCACGCCGAGCCGGGCGTAGGCGGCGACCGCCACGGCGAGGGGCAGCGCGTAGGCGAGCAGCACGAGGGCGGCGGCGTGCGCCACGCGCTCGCGCTCGCGCCGCGCGCCCCACAGCTCCTCGCACAGCGCCACCTCCGCCTCGCCGCCGTCGGCGGGCAGCCGCACGTAGCGGGTGTTGGCGAGCGCCGGCGCGGCCAGGGCGGCGCCCAGCAGCCAGAGCGCCGCCGCGAGGAGGCCGCAGCGGCGCGGCGACATGCGGGGCCGCAGGGGGTGCACGAGCGCCGAGTAGCGGTCGAGCGCGATGGCCACCAGCGTGAAAGAGGAGACGTGCACGGTGACGGGCTGCAGGTAGAGCGAGGCCAGGCAGGCCCCGCGGCCCAGCACCCAGCCGCGCGGGTCGTACACGTAGGCCAGCGACGTGGGCACGCACAGGGCGCACATGAGCGCGTCCGACGCCGCCAGGTTGCCGATGAGGAAGTTGGTGACGGTGCGCATCCTCTTGACGCGCGCGATGGCGCCCACGAGGAGGACGTTGCCCACGATGGCGGCGGTGACGAGGAGCGCGTAGAGCAGCACCACCAGGGGCTTGAAGCGCTCCAGCAGCTCCAGAGACTCGAGCTGGTCCGGGGGAGCGAGCGAAGCCTCCGAGGCATCGTCCGGGGTGGAGAGGGGCGCGGGGAGTGTCGGGCCGGATGCGTGGAGGTCGCTGCCGGCGGCGGTGGCGTTCGCGTCGCTCGGATCGGGGGCGAGCGACATCGTCAAGGATTTGCGGCTCCTGGGCGGGGGAGAGTGAGACGAGGAGTGATGTGTGCGTGGAAAGTGCTTCAATAAAGTTCGTGAGGTGGGCATCGGATTGTAGAGAACTTGTTAAAACACACACGGACATGAAAGACAAGGATCGGCATTTTGCATGGTGGCTGGCTCTGGATTGCTCTCACACAGTCAGCCACTCGCAGTGGTGGGCAACTTCCTCTCACATTTGAGGCACAGCAGCCCCAGCATGGTGAGCCCACGCTACCCCATGACGCTATCTTGAGCTGTTTCCCCTCCACTGCGACCTCAGAAATGCTCAGTACACCTGAAATTGTCACGGTGGTCAATGGACACTCGCTCACTCCCTCGATGCAGGCCTCGCCCGTAGCGACACGTTTGACCAATGTCAGGACAGGTCTGCCACTGATGCAATGAGCGAGCCACCTATTGTCAGAAGTGTCAATCAGGGCTGATTAAGTCAGGTGGGGGTAATTAAAACAGCTGACCCACCCCTAACAATGAGGCCCATGAGCCAATGGCAAGGCAGCAGGCGTAGCGAGCCCGCCTATATAAAGGGGCCGAGCCAGAATCGGAAAATCGTGGACCACCGAGGTGCCACTGCACAGAGGAGAGCAACAGCAAGGCAGCAGCAAGATGATCATCATCCAGGGACAAGAGGCAGTCCTGAGGCCTGGTGCGGGGGGGGGGGCGTTCACGTCGTGGTGGGCAGCGCGAAGGTGAGGCGAGAGCGGGAGGGCACGGCCCAGGAGCCCTGCCACCACGCACAGCGGGCTAAGAGGAGGCCTCGCCAAGACGCGTGTGCGGCGCAGCGCTGCGGACACGAGCCGCCGTGTGTCCGCGTGTGTGTGTCAGTGGGGAGCGGTAGTGTAGCGGTTAGCACGCTGCGCTATGAACCTGCCGACCCGGGTTCGATATCCGCTCACGGCCAACACCAGTGGCGATTATCTGAACCGGTCCTGGGCCTCCCCTAGGTCGACTCAACCTCAAATGAGTACCTGGTGCGGTATGTAAACATCGCCACTGGGGAGACAAAGGCGGTCGGGCGTGGTGCTGGCCACCCACCCCCTCGTGTACCGTTTCGGCCTTGACAGGTGCTCGCTAACAGCACTTGCCCCTACAGTCTGTTAAGGCTATACGGGGGAGCTTTGTGTGTGTCTGCGTGTGTGTCTGCGTGTGTGTCTGTCTGGTCTGGCAAAACAACCCCCTACCTCCTCGCGGTGCCAGACGGGCAACTCTGTCGTGGACAGTGCTATGGGGGGAGGAGCCAATTCCGATTGGCCCCTCCCCTCATGGCGTCTGTGACCACCACAGTGGCTAAACGGGGGCTCTGGACAGGTGAGAGGGGCTGGTAACCCCTCCACCTTCAAAAAATTACCACGAAACCACTCCAACTCCCAATCGGTGATGGGGCAGTTGTGGAGAGAGTGGAGAGTTTCCCATACCTGGGCAGTGTGCTTATGACTGGCTCCAGTTTAACAGCAGAGGTCTCACTCCGAATCAGTCGAGCGGCAATATCTTTTCATCGGTTGCGTAACGCTGTGTGGAAGCTACCTGGTCTGTCGCTCTCGGCCACGGTCATTCCCTCCCTTCTCTACGCTTGCGAAACGTGGACCCCCCTAATGGAATATCATCGCCGGTTAGAAACATTTAGGCTGGCCTGCCTACGATCTAAACCTGCTGTGGTTTTCTCACCTGATGATAATTGCTTGTGTTGCAGTCGAAACGTCGTGAGAATTTTATTGTTTTATATTATTATTTTATTGTTTCCCTTCTACGTGACTTTACCGAAAGAACCAAGAATATGAATACCTGCAGTCACGAAAGCTTTAAATCAGAGCTCACAAATCTTTGAAAGATCTGGGCAAGGTCCCATCGGTGAGCTCCTCCGGCAGGCAGGGCTGCGTTGGCTGGGTCATGTAGCCCGCATGCCCAGCCACCGCATGCCGAAACAGCTTTTATTCGGCCGGATCGAGGGGGCTAAACGGGCGCGGCACGGGCTAGAGAAGAGAGATGGAGTGATGTGGTACAGAAGGACGTGGAGCTGAGTGGACTTGCCGATGACTGGTACCAGCGGTGTCAAGATCGGCCTCTGTGGAGGAGGCTCGTGAAGGACGCTACTGGGCAGTTGGAGGCAGTCGCCCTCCAACAACAACGGAGGGCGGAGAAGCGACGCTCACAGCAACGAGCGGAGCGCCGGGTGGCTAAAGCACAGCAGGTTGGCACAGTAGGAGGCACAGGTGGTGCATCAGCCAGTCATCTTAGTCAGTCGACCCGTGGCACTTGGGTCTCTTCCTGTGACCTCCTGCCCGCGGGCGTTCGACAATTCACGTTGCCTCAAGGTGCACATGGCCTGGCACGAGCGTCGTGGTGACGTCACCGCCACTTGGTGGCGAATGACGGTTGTCTGTTGTGTTGTCTTATTGGGAGCGGTAGTGTCGCGGTTAGCGCGCTGTGCTACAAACCCGGCGGCCCAAGTTCGATTCCCGCTCACGGCCAACACCAGTGACGATTGATTATCCGAACTTGTCATGGGGTTCTCCTAGGTGGCCTCAGCCTGAAATTAGTACCCAATGTGATGTGTAAAACATCACCACCCCCCGGTGTGCCGTGCCGGCCTTCATAGGTGCTCGCTAACAGCACTTGTCCCAGCAGTCTGTTCAGGCTATACGGGGGATCTTTGTGTGGAGCGGTGTTAGCGGGCACGTGGCAGTGGCCCGGACACTGGAGGGCGAGCACACACGTGGCGGTGTGGAACTGCGTGGGGTGTGGCGGGGTGGAGTCGTGGTCGCGTTAGCTGTGGTGTTGCGGCTTGTGGCGGTGCCTTCCTCGCTCGGCGCTCCGAGTTCAACTCGACTCGACGATTAATGTCGCACCACGTGTCTGTGACGGCACCACTCCGCCCATGGTGATTTTTTAAATAGAAATTTATAGCGACGTTTTGATCGCTCGCTACTACGCGACCACCACTCATCCTTGCAGCGCCACACGGCGCTCCGATCCTCCGGGAGGCGGCTGCGGTAGCCGCCCTCATCCTTGCACGACGCAGACGCCGGGAGCGGCCCTCCGCTCACCCTCGGGGCTCGCTGGAATGCCGCCTCTGTCGGCCAGGGTCTCCGGGGAGGTCGACACTCCAATGCAGCCATGGCAGCTGCATGAGGCACAGCCCTGATCTTCCCACCCCCCCTCCCCCCTTTTTGATGAAAGTCGCTTGCAACTTTCATCAGCTAGCCGAGAGCAGAGATGGCTGTTGTGGGTTTGAAGGGGGTCCTTGATAGACGCCTTCCAACAACAGCCTCGCCTGCATGTCCTTCACTGATGTGCATCGGTGGGGGTATAAACCACCATCACGCCTCGCCTCCTGTTGATGGGGAGGTAAACCCACGACAGCTGGAGATTTGCAGCTTCCCACACCTCCCCGCCACACAGACAGACACACAGACAGACACACAGACAGACACACAGACACACAGACAGACACACAGACAGACACACAGACAGACACACAGACAGACACACAGACAGACACACAGACAGACACACAGACAGACACACAGACAGACACACACAGAGACACACACAACAACAACTGCCATTCGCCACTAAGTGGTGGTGACGTCACCACGACGCTTGTGCCAGGCCATGTGCACCTTGAGGCCATGTGGAGTGTCGAACGCCCGCTGGCAGGAGGTCACGGGGCAGACCCAGGTGTCACGGGTCGACTGACTGAGATGACTGGCTGATGCACCACCTGTGCCCCCTACTGTGCCAATCTGCTGTGCTTTAGCCACCCGGCGCTCCGCTCGTTGTTGTGAGCATCGCTCCTCCGCCCTCCGTTGTTGTTGGAGGGCGACTACCTCCAACTGCCCAGTAGCGTCCTTCACGAGCCTCCTCCACAGAGGCCGATCTTGACACCGCTGGTACCAGTCATCGGCAAGTCCACTCAGCTCCACGTCCTCCTGTACCACATCACTCCATCTCCTCTCTAGCCCGTGCCGCGCCCGTTTAGCCCCCTCGATCCGGCCAAACAAAAGCTGTTTCGGCATGCGGTGGCTGGGCATGCGGGCTACATGACCCAGCCATCGCAGCCTTACCCGCCGGAGGAGCTCACCGATGGGACCTTGCCCAGATCTTTCAAGGATTTGTGAGCTCCTCACACAATCCAGTCTGGTTAAACCCAGGATGGATCGTAGGCAGGCTAGCCTAAATGTTTCTAACCGGCGAAGATGTTCCATTAGGGGGGTCCACGTTCCGCAAGCGTAGAGAAGGGAGTGAACGACCGTGGCCGAGAAGACCTGAAGCTTAGTGCGGAGCGACAGACCAGGTAGCTTCCACACAGCATTACGCAACCGATGGAAAGATATTGCCGTTCGACTGATTCGGAGTGAGATCTCTGCTGTTAAACTGGAGCCGGTCATAAGCACTGCCCAGGTATGGGAAACTCTCCACTCTCTCCACAACTGCCCCATCACCGATTGGGAGTTGTGGGGGTGGAGTGTCCGATGGTACAAAATACCCAGGCAGGTGCTTAGTTTTGGTGGGGCTGATGGTAAGGCCCCATCTCTTAGTGGCACGCTCCAGTCTCAGCAGCAGCGTCTCCAACTCCTCTTCTGAATGAGCAGCTATTACCAAATCATCAGCATACATAACATGGTTGAGCAATAGGGAGCCATCCCTTGACCGCACGCGGGCATCGATCAGCCTCTCATTATATCTGTACCATATGGAGATTCTGCCGGTACAGCTATTGAAGGCTTCACGAACTACGTGGTCAAAATAGATGTTAAATAATATGGGAGCCAGAGGACATCCCTGTCGCACCCCAAGGTGTACAGGGAATGGCTCTGACTCCCGGCCACGTAGTTTTACCCGGGCCCGCTCACCATCACGAAGGTCCTTAATGATCGTGAGCAGAGGGTCAGGGACTCCAAAAGCACGAAAAACACCCCAGAGCCCAGGCCTACTGATGGTATCATAGGCCTTGACCAGGTCAATAAAGCAGAGATGTAGGTCTTGCTGGAATTTCCTACACCTCTGCTGTAGCAGCACACACAGACACACACACACACACCCTCATTCTTGCACACGCGCGCAAGTCAACCGATACAAATTCACTCGCCAGCACACGTGGCACTTGCCAACACTGACACATCCGTCTCACACGGCGGCTTTCGCGACCAATATCGTCCACAAGAGGTGTGCTGTCGCCTCCTGGTGCTGGTTGTAATTTCTGGCGAAACGTCGTACTCGGATATCATAAATGTTGTAGGTTTACTCTCCAACACATCCGTGAGGTGTACCAGTAACGAATTGGCACGTTCTGTTTACGTGACAAACCTTACTAATTGGCTGTCAGGTGGTGGCGGGTTTAACGACACATTTATATTTACGCGATCTAACCCAAAACAAAAAGCTATATTATGAATAATACACATCCGCTATCATCCACCCAGACACATTTACCCCAAGGCTGTCGTCGGCACACACACACACGCACCACCCCCCAACGCAAGTCCCAGAGACGGCGTTTCACCACCACGAGCGCCGCTATCGGCGTCTCGTGTTGAACCGCGCTGGACTGGAGATGCGAACACGTGCACAGGAGTAGCTCCCGGGTTCCATGTGGCTCCGTATCCCCGTGTTCTCCATGGTTCTATCTCAGTGTTTGTTTTAATGTCTCCATGCTAACCGGCGTTAATGTCCTACACCCTCTCATTCTTCCTAGTCCCCTCGTCTCTGTCCCTGACACCAAGCTGCCCGTGTACGCGCGTCTCGGTGTACGCGCGTCTCGGTGTACGCCTGTCCGCGTCTTCCTGGTCTCCTTGCACCACCGACCATGTGGAGCCTCCGAGCCAAGGCCCCACAGACCCCTTTCTCCACCTCCGCTCTACCCCAGGGGATTTGCACTCTGGGTTTGCATTTCTGTCTGTGCCACCCTTCCCTGCTCGCCCACACCCGGGTCGCGTCTCGCCCACACCCGGGTCGCGTCTCGCCCACACCCGGGTCGCGTCTCGCCCACACCCGGGTCGCGTCTCACCCACACCCGGGTCGCGTCTCACCCACACCCAGGTCGCGTCTCGCCCACACCCAGGTCGTGTCTCGCCCACACCCAGGTCGCGTCTCACCCGTGTGCAGAGGCGCCCAGACGCGAGGTGTGGAATTTGCCAGGCGCAGGCGGAGCAGGGGCGACCATGGGGGGGGGGAGGAGATGGGAGGCTGAGCGAGGTGCCGAGGCGATCGGCGATGTTACGAGAAGGGAGGGGAGCCGATCTTAGCTAATTAGGTGGGAGGTGATTTGAAGCGATGAGCGATTGTAGCAGGGAGGAGACGGGAGGTGATGGAAGATGGGTGGAGACGGGGAAGGCAAATGAGAGATGAGGAGGCTTTGGGGGAGATGAGGCTGGAGACGACACAGCGAGGGGAGACTTCCACAGACGATCTGCAACTAAGAACGCGGTGTCTCTGCCACCCTTCACCACTTCCCCTCCACCGCCCCCTGCCCCCCCCCCTGTGGTGGCGTTGGACACCACGAATGACGTCGCACGCGCCTTGGTGCCCCTGGCGTCGAGGCCAGCCAGGGCGCCGTCAATCACCTCGGCGAGACAAAGACGGCCTCGTGGGCGCAGCGGTTATCGGGGCGAGACACGCAGTGGCCGCACGATTTGGAATTATTGCGGACCGCGCGCTCAATGAATCGCTGAGAAGTTTAAAGAATAAAACTGTCACGGGCTCGGTCCGAGGTGGGGTCGGGGGGGTGGTCGAGGTGCTGCCCGACGCTGCGGAGGAAGTGACGGACTCAGGACAGCAGCAGCCACACGACGACTCGGTAACACGGGAGGCTCAGAGTTCAACACAAACATCATTATTATCTTTAATTCAATTTTACATTCATTACACTTTCTATACCTTACCCGACACATGCATTCCGATTTAAGCAATCAACCGGTGGTGAGGATTTGATTGTAAATTTAATTCATTTTGGGGAAACCCCAAGGGTGCCCCAGAATGGGCCGGGCAGTACAAGCGACGCAAGCCGCAGTCCTTCCCAGCTCGCAAGGGCGCGCCCGCTGGCCGCCAGCACGACCAGAGAGCCCCCGGCCAAGCTGGCTGACGCGGTGGACTAAGGAGCAGCTGTGGAGCGGAAGGGCTATCCCAGGGCCTGCAGCAGGCTCTCATTGGGCTTGAGTGAAACCAGCGTGCTGCTCGCTGACGCCAACTCTGCGAGTGACACGCGGCCACGCTGCCGGATGAAGCGCGCCACGGAGTCCATCTCCTCCTCGGTCACGTAAATGAACTTGCCACGGTCATCGAGCACACCTGGGGTGGGAGTGGAGTGGAGGGGGTGTGTGGGGAGTGTGAGTGGAGAGTGTGAGTGGAGGGGGGTGTGTGTGTGGGGAGTGTGAGTGGAGGGGGGGTGTGTGTGTGTGTGGGGGGTGTATGTGTGGGGAGTGTGAGTGGAGGGGGTGTGTGTGTGGGGAGTGTGAGTGCAGGGGGGGGGTGTGTGTGTGTGTGTGGGGAGTGTGTGTGTGTGGGAAGTGTGAGTGGAGGGGGGGGGGTGTATGTGCGTGTGTGGGGAGTGTGAGTGGAGGGTGGGGGGTGTGTGTGTGGGGAGTGTCAGTGGAGGGGGGTGTGTGTGTGTGGGGAGTGTCAGTGGAGGGGACAGGGGGGTGTGTGTGGGGAGTGTCAGTGGAGGGGACAGGGGGGTGTGTGTGGGGAGTGTCAGTGGAGGGGACAGGGGGGGTGAGTGTGTGTGTGGGGAGTGTGAGTGAGTGGAGGGGACGGGGGGGGTGAGTGTGTGTGTGGGGAGTGTGAGTGAGTGGAGGGGACGGGGGGGGGGTGAGTGTGTGTGTGGGGAGTGTGAGTGAGTGGAGGGGACGGGGGGGGTGAGTGTGTGTGTGGGGAGTGTGAGTGAGTGGAGGGGACGGGGGGGGTGAGTGTGTGTGTGGGGAGTGTGAGTGAGTGGAGGGGACGGGGGGGGTGAGTGTGTGTGTGGGGAGTGTGAGTGAGTGGAGGGGACGGGGGGGGGTGAGTGTGTGTGTGGGGAGTGTGAGTGAGTGGAGGGGGGGTGAGTGTGTGTGTGGGGAGTGTGAGTGTGGTGAGTGTGAGTGAGTGGAGGGGGGGTGAGTGTGTGTGTGGGGAGTGTGAGTGTGGTGAGTGTGAGTGAGTGGAGGGGACGGGGGGGGTGAGTGTGTGTGTGGTGAGTGTGAGTGAGTGGAGGGGGGGTGAGTGTGTGTGTGGGGAGTGTGGTGAGTGTGAGTGAGTGGAGGGGGGGGTGAGTGTGTGTGTGGGGGTGAGTGAGTGGAGGGGGGGTGAGTGTGTGTGTGTGGGGGTGAGTGTGAGTGAGTGGAGGGGGGTTGAGTGTGTGTGTGGGGGTGAGTGTGAGTGAGTGGAGGGGGGGTGAGTGTGTGTGTGGGGGTGAGTGTGAGTGAGTGGAGGGGGGGTGAGTGTGTGTGTGGGGGTGAGTGAGTGGAGGGGGGGTGAGTGTGTGTGTGGGGGTGAGTGTGAGTGAGTGGAGGGGGGGTGAGTGTGTGTGTGGGGGTGAGTGTGAGTGAGTGGAGGGGGGGTGAGTGTGTGTGTGGGGGTGAGTGTGAGTGAGTGGAGGGGGGGTGAGTGTGTGTGTGGGGGTGAGTGTGAGTGAGTGGAGGGGGGGGGTGAGTGTGTGTGTGGGGGTGAGTGTGAGTGAGTGGAGGGGGGGGGTGAGTGTGTGTGTGGGGGTGAGTGTGAGTGAGTGGAGGGGGGGGTGAGTGTGTGTGTGGGGGTGAGTGTGAGTGAGTGGAGGGGGGGGGTGAGTGTGTGTGTGGGGGTGAGTGTGAGTGAGTGGAGGGGGGGTGAGTGTGTGTGTGGGGGTGAGTGTGAGTGAGTGGAGGGGGGGTGAGTGTGTGTGTGGGGGTGAGTGTGAGTGAGTGGAGGGGGGGTGAGTGTGTGTGTGGGGGTGAGTGTGAGTGAGTGGAGGGGGGGTGAGTGTGTGTGTGGGGGTGAGTGTGAGTGAGTGGAGGGGGGGTGAGTGTGTGTGTGGGGGGTGAGTGTGAGTGAGTGGAGGGGGGGTGAGTGTGTGTGTGGGGGTGAGTGTGAGTGAGTGGAGGGGGGGTGAGTGTGTGTGTGGGGGTGAGTGTGAGTGAGTGGAGGGGGGGTGAGTGTGTGTGTGGGGGTGAGTGTGAGTGAGTGGAGGGGGGGTGAGTGTGTGTGTGGGGGTGAGTGTGAGTGAGTGGAGGGGGGGTGAGTGTGTGTGTGGGGGTGAGTGTGAGTGAGTGGAGGGGGGGTGAGTGTGTGTGTGGGGGTGAGTGTGAGTGAGTGGAGGGGGGGGTGAGTGTGTGTGTGGGGGTGAGTGTGAGTGAGTGGAGGGGGGGTGAGTGTGTGTGTGGGGGTGAGTGTGAGTGAGTGGAGGGGGGGTGAGTGTGTGTGTGGGGGTGAGTGTGAGTGAGTGGAGGGGGGGTGAGTGTGTGTGTGGGGGTGAGTGTGAGTGAGTGGAGGGGGGGTGAGTGTGTGTGTGGGGGTGAGTGTGAGTGAGTGGAGGGGGGGGTGAGTGTGAGTGAGTGGAGGGGGGGTGAGTGTGAGTGAGTGGAGGGGGGGGTGAGTGTGAGTGAGTGGAGGGGGGGGTGAGTGTGAGTGAGTGGAGGGGGGGTGAGTGTGAGTGAGTGGAGGGGGGGGTGAGTGTGAGTGAGTGGAGGGGGGGGTGAGTGTGAGTGAGTGGAGGGGGGGTGAGTGTGAGTGAGTGGAGGGGGGGTGAGTGTGTGTGAGTGGAGGGGGGGGTGAGTGTGAGTGAGTGGAGGGGGGGTGAGTGTGAGTGAGTGGAGGGGGGGGGGTGAGTGTGTGTGTGTGTGGGGGTGAGTGTGAGTGAGTGGAGGGGGGGTGAGTGTGTGTGTGTGTGGGGGTGAGTGTGAGTGAGTGGAGGGGGGGTGAGTGTGTGTGTGTGTGGGGGTGAGTGTGAGTGAGTGGAGGGGGGGTGAGTGTGTGTGTGTGTGGGGGTGAGTGTGAGTGAGTGGAGGGGGGGTGAGTGTGTGTGTGTGTGGGGGTGAGTGTGAGTGAGTGGAGGGGGGGTGAGTGTGTGTGTGTGTGGGGGTGAGTGTGAGTGAGTGGAGGGGGGGTGAGTGTGTGTGTGTGTGGGGGTGAGTGTGAGTGAGTGGAGGGGGGGTGAGTGTGTGTGTGTGTGGGGGTGAGTGTGAGTGAGTGGAGGGGGGGTGAGTGTGTGTGTGTGGGGGTGAGTGTGAGTGAGTGGAGGGGGGGTGAGTGTGTGTGTGTGTGGGGGTGAGTGTGAGTGAGTGGAGGGGGGGTGAGTGTGTGTGTGTGTGGGGGTGAGTGTGAGTGAGTGGAGGGGGGGTGAGTGTGTGTGTGTGTGGGGGTGAGTGTGAGTGAGTGGAGGGGGGGTGAGTGTGTGTGTGTGTGGGGGTGAGTGTGAGTGAGTGGAGGGGGGGTGAGTGTGTGTGTGTGTGGGGGTGAGTGTGAGTGAGTGGAGGGGGGGTGAGTGTGTGTGTGTGTGGGGGTGAGTGTGAGTGAGTGGAGGGGGGGTGAGTGTGTGTGTGTGTGGGGGGTGAGTGTGAGTGAGTGGAGGGGGGGTGAGTGTGTGTGTGTGTGTGGGGGTGAGTGTGAGTGGGTGGAGGGGGGGTGAGTGTGTGTGTGTGTGGGGGTGAGTGTGAGTGAGTGGAGGGGGGGTGAGTGTGTGTGTGTGTGGGGGTGAGTGTGAGTGAGTGGAGGGGGGGTGAGTGTGTGTGTGTGTGGGGGTGAGTGTGAGTGAGTGGAGGGGGGGTGAGTGTGTGTGTGTGTGGGGGTGAGTGTGAGTGAGTGGAGGGGGGGTGAGTGTGCGTGTGTGTGGGGGTGAGTGTGAGTGAGTGGAGGGGGGGTGAGTGTGCGTGTGTGTGGGGGTGAGTGTGAGTGAGTGGAGGGGGGGTGAGTGTGCGTGTGTGTGGGGGTGAGTGTGAGTGAGTGGAGGGGGGGTGAGTGTGCTGTGTGTGGGGGTGAGTGTGAGTGAGTGGAGGGGGGGTGAGTGTGTGTGTGTGTGGGGGTGAGTGTGAGTGAGTGGAGGGGGGGTGAGTGTGTGTGTGTGTGGGGGTGAGTGTGAGTGAGTGGAGGGGGGGTGAGTGTGTGTGTGTGGGGGTGAGTGTGAGTGAGTGGAGGGGGGGTGAGTGTGTGTGTGTGGGGGGTGAGTGTGAGTGAGTGGAGGGGGGGTGAGTGTGTGTGTGTGGGGGTGAGTGTGAGTGAGTGGAGGGGGGGTGAGTGTGTGTGTGTGGGGGTGAGTGTGAGTGAGTGGAGGGGGGGTGAGTGTGTGTGTGTGGGGGTGAGTGTGAGTGAGTGGAGGGGGGGTGAGTGTGTGTGTGTGGGGGGTGAGTGTGAGTGAGTGGAGGGGGGGTGAGTGTGTGTGTGGGGGTGAGTGTGAGTGAGTGGAGGGGGGGTGAGTGTGTGTGTGTGGGGGTGAGTGTGAGTGAGTGGAGGGGGGGTGAGTGTGTGTGTGGGGGTGAGTGTGAGTGAGTGGAGGGGGGGTGAGTGTGTGTGTGGGGGTGAGTGTGTGTGTGGGGGTGAGTGTGAGTGAGTGGAGGGGGGGTGAGTGTGTGTGTGGGGGTGAGTGTGAGTGAGTGGAGGGGGGGTGAGTGTGTGTGTGGGGGTGAGTGTGAGTGAGTGGAGGGGGGGTGAGTGTGTGTGTGGGGGTGAGTGTGAGTGAGTGGAGGGGGGGTGAGTGTGTGTGTGGGGGTGAGTGTGAGTGAGTGGAGGGGGGGTGAGTGTGTGTGTGGGGGTGAGTGTGAGTGAGTGGAGGGGGGGTGAGTGTGTGTGTGGGGGTGAGTGTGAGTGAGTGGAGGGGGGGTGAGTGTGTGTGTGGGGGTGAGTGTGAGTGAGTGGAGGGGGGGTGAGTGTGTGTGTGGGGGTGAGTGTGAGTGAGTGGAGGGGGGGTGAGTGTGTGTGTGGGGGTGAGTGTGAGTGAGTGGAGGGGGGTGAGTGTGTGTGTGGGGGTGAGTGTGAGTGAGTGGAGGGGGGGTGAGTGTGTGTGTGGGGGTGAGTGTGAGTGAGTGGAGGGGGGGTGAGTGTGTGTGTGTGGGGGGGAGTGTGAGTGAGTGGAGGGGGGGTGAGTGTGTGTGTGTGGGGGTGAGTGTGAGTGAGTGGAGGGGGGGTGAGTGTGTGTGTGTGGGGGTGAGTGTGAGTGAGTGGAGGGGGGGGTGAGTGTGTGTGTGGGGGTGAGTGTGAGTGAGTGGAGGGGGGGGTGAGTGTGTGTGTGTGGGGGTGAGTGTGAGTGAGTGGAGGGGGGGTGAGTGTGTGTGTGTGGGGGTGAGTGTGAGTGAGTGGAGGGGGGGTGAGTGTGTGTGTGGGGGTGAGTGTGAGTGAGTGGAGGG